TCTCTCTCTCTCTCTCTCTCTCTCTCTCTCCTGCTTGTAACAACCCACAAATATAAACTTCTGTCCAGATGTGCGGCGCAGCAGGAGCCTCGGGCCTGTTGAGGAAGACGAGGAAGATGAAGTGGAGGAAGAAGAAGAGCAACCAGAGAAGCTAAAGGACTCAGCAGAGGAAACTCCATCAAGGTTCCTTCATGTTCACTTTATCTCCACAAAGAAAACACATTTATTTATGTCTTACCTTTTGTAATATCGCCAGAGAAATGATCAACAATGTAGTATAATGTATTAGTATATAATATATAATATATATATACATATATATATATATATAGATGTCAGCATAAAAAGAGGAAGCCTGGCAGACCTCAGATCAGTGAGACACAGAACCACGTGGACCTCAGGATCCGGATCCTGGAGGACTCTCGGACCGACGTGCTCTCAAACAACGGTACGACTAAAAGCGTTTCCTGGTCGGACGGTTTCACACCGTTTCAAAGTGTCCTCACGTCCTCGTCTCGCTCTCTCCTCCCTCAGTTCTGAAGAAATGTCCGATGCTGAGGCTGAGGTGTCCTCGAGGCCTGGAGGAGGCGGACTTCGTGGACCTGCTCAGGTCCAGCTTCCCTCAGCTGTCCGGAGACGACGGACGCTTCGACGTCTTGACGTCGGATACGAGACGACGGTTGAAGCCTCTGAGGGTGAAGACGCTGACGGCGGAGGAGATCCAGCGGAACGTCGGCTGCACGGGAGGGAAGTCCACGCTCTACATCCGACTCAAGGTATAGAACCCTCGGAACCACAACGTTCCTTCTGCTCCTCATGCCATTTAATTGCGATTAAAAATTGTAATCGTTGCCCAGCACTAGTTTTTACACAATCTGGTTAAAGTGAACGCTTTATTAGTGGAGAGATTTTAAATGAGAACATGAAGAATAAAATGTTTTTGATGAAATATCATGATTTTAAGCTTCGTTTCGGCTGCTTTTTCTGACTAAAGTGTTCGTCACACATGATGTGTTCAGGGACCGTTGGAAAGAGGAATACCTGACGATAATGTTGTTTTTTTACAGATTCTGGCTGAGATGAACGGTGTAGTTTTCGTGATTTGTTTAATGAAAACACGCTTTTTTTGGGGTTCAGACGGTGAAGAAACAGATTCATCTTCTTGAGTTGGAATGTTTGAAAAGTTCGCTTCACTTTTATTTCAATTCTAGACAAAAAAGGAAGAAGAGACGAATCCTCCACAGACGAACGCCGCTGATGGGTCTCTGCAGACGAGTGATGAAGTCAGACTTCAGACGAGGTAAAGAAACGTGACGGTAAAGAATGAAACACGCTGAGCGACACGACGGGTTTTCAACCATCGGTGTCGCCTGAAGCCTGAATTTAGTTTTTTTCCTTAACATGAATAAAAAAACATTCCCAGCATCAGTCGCTGCATAACAAGTGTCGACGTTAATAATGCGTATTGAAAGCAGTGGAAGTGCCTCCATTTATTCCTGCAGTCAAACATCTGCTGGGTTTTCGTCCAATCAGATCGCTGCTGATCGTTTATTCGAGACATTTTTGATGATAGTAAATCGTTGTATTTGGGTGCAAAAAGCAGTCGACTATTTTTTTGCGAGTAGTTAAGAGAAGAGACGCACTGAAAACACGTCAAACGTTGATGGTGACTAACATGACCTGAACATAACAACCACAGTCCATGAAGTGTTTCTCCATCGTTTTCTAAATCTAACTGAGTTTCATGTGAAGAAGGAACTTTATTTTGATAATAATGTTTGCATGTAAAGAGCATGTAGTCGACACGTGTTGCTGGACTTTAGTAAGAAACCGCACGAAAAATGAGGAGTAACTTTTCTAAAGGTATACGAACTGTTGCGTGATGACGCATTGGGACCTAACCTGGCTAAAATAAGGAGTATTCCCGACATTTTCTAAGTCAGACTTTAAACTCCTCGCTTCTTAATCTTTGCTCCTTGTTCCTTCGGCAGCCCTGTTCAGGAGGTCGAAGGTCGCGGAGAAGAAGTGTCCATCGGCTCAACATCACAACATCAAGACATGGAAACAGAGGAAGCTGCTGATGATGATGATGAAGGTGGGACATCAGAGCGAGCCGAGAGTACAGGACACGGTGGTGTTGAAAAGGAAGAAGAGAGAGAAGAAGACGATCGGAAACCAGAGGAGAGCGACGGCAAGCCGAAAGAAATCGACTCCGAGCTGCAGTCGGAGACGTCGAGGAAACAGAAGACCGAGAGCGGAGACGTTCTGTCCTGCAGAGTCTGCGGAGCGCCGCACGGATCGCAGGTGGCATTCGTCAAACACGCCTGGAGTCACGCGGACGACCCGGGACGTCTCTGCGGGGCGTGCGGAGAGCTCTCTGAGTCCGGCGATGCGCTGAGGGATCACCTTCAGAGCCGCCACCGAACCAACGACTGTCACTCGTGCGGGGAGTCTTTCCTCGGTGTTCTCGGTGGCCTCGGCGAGCGCGTGGAGAAACCGTACGAGTGTGACGTTTGCCGCGACGCGTCGAAGGTGTCCTCGGAGGATCACCAGAAACCCCGCGATGCGGGCAAACCGAACAAACGTCGCGCTCGCCGCAAAGCGCTCGCGCTGAAGGAACAGTTTAACGCTCGCCGCGGGACTTGTGCCGCCAAGAAGACGCACCTCTGCGGCGTGTGCGGCAAATCTCTCAGCGACTACAGGTCCCTGACCCGCCACAAGATGACCCACTCTGGGGAGAGACCCCACAGCTGTCAGATCTGCGGGCGGCGTTTCAAGCTGCCCGGCACGCTGAGGCAGCACGAGAAGATCCACGCGGACCGAGAGCGCTCGCACCTCTGCGACGTCTGCTGCAAGATGTTCCTGACGAGCAAGCAGCTGCAGATCCACCTGAGGACGCACAGCGACGAGAAGCCGTACCACTGTGGCGAGTGCGGCCGGGGGTTCACCACCAAGGGGCCCCTGACGATCCACATGCGGGTCCACACGGGGGAGACACCGTACCGCTGCCCCGACTGCGGCTGGTCCTTCAAACGCAAGATCAACCTGGACAACCACGTGACGATCCACTCGGGCCTCAAGCCGTTCATCTGCGGGATCTGCGGTAAAGCGTGCGCCCGGAAGTCGTACCTGACGGTCCACATGAGGACCCACAACGGGGAGAGACCCTACAAGTGTTTGCTCTGTGACAAGGCCTTCACCCAGAGCCACTGTCTGAAGACCCACATGAAGAGCCACCCGGTGGGCGAAGCGGCGACGTGACACTGACAATGGACCGAATTCATTTTTACATTCTGTGATACTGTGAATATTTGTGTTTATTTCTTATTGATATGAATCGGTTTTTTTTTGTGTAAAGTTGCATGTAACGCTGTGAACATCTGTACAATCTCAGTTTTGAGGTGTTGGATGGTGACGTGAACTGTAGTGTATTTGATTTAGAAGTAGTAAGTAATACTGAAGTACTCCAGTCAGCTCGGTGAGGTTGTACTAAACCACAGCATGTTCACAACGACGGGAAATAAAAGGCTCATGTTCATGTTTACATTGTTCCCCGTCTTATTGAGTTTTGGACAAATGATGATCATTTTCGTATGACATCACTACCGTTACCTGACGGCTGCTCCACAAACAGACTGATGTTCTGCTTGTTGGTCACATGTTGTGATAAACTTACTTGTGAGGGTTTTATTGTGTTTGAGACGACCAGTTCTCAGCTTCTACTGGAGTCAAATGATTCATCTTTTTCAAACCAACAGTTTATATATATAAATTAGTGCTGGGCAACGATTAAAATATTTAATCGCGATTAATCGCATGGATTTTTTGCGATTAATGTCATTGTTATGGCAAAGTTCAATAATGAATTCAAAAGTAGTGTATTGCGCACTTTTATTTTAAAAGTACTGCTATATGAACAAAAGGGCAATAACATTTGGTTCACGAGATGCAGGTAGCATGTTTTATACTTAATGTGAATATAATTCATACTTTGTTGGCATCTTATTCTGAAAACCGGATGTTGTCTCACGTTAATCTTTCCGCTAACTTTCAAAGTCCTTCGCTCGCTCCCGATCTGTGCCGTTTAAATGCGTTTACCGTGAATTTCAGCATATGGTGCACTAACATGTAAGTGTCTGCTGAGTTGGCCACGGAGATCTGAGTGTCTGCTGACTTTACCGCAGCGATGTCCAGTAGTCTCCAGGGAGAGCAACAGCTGGTGCAGCTTCTCTCTTTATTTCTGTCCCCCCTCGACCAGAAGCGGAAGTCGCCTTTTCTCTACGGCAACCCTGAAGGGACATTATATCTCCAACTGACTATAGGATGTTTGCTGGCTTTTATCCCACTGTTCTTGTCATCCTCTTGTTATGTCTATGTATTGTATCTTGTCTTTCAATAAAAAAAAAATAAAATAAAAAATGCATTAACGCGCGATAAAATAATTGGCGGCGTTAATTAATGAATGCGTTAACGCGAAAATAACGCGTTAACTTGCCCAGCAGTAATATTAATACAATGAATAATCTGTGATGATGGTGTTCTATGAACTGGTGAGAGCAGGACTGGTGTCAATTGTTTTTATGCAAATCATGTTTAATGATTTCTTTACGGTACATTACAACATGCAAATATATTTTTCACATGATTGCATCACTGGGAGGTGAGGTCCCATGACAGCAGCACCATTTGAATATCATCAGTTGACACACAAATACGTTTAAAAAAGCTCCAAAAAGCAAACTGTAATTAGAATAAGTATCAGATCCATTTCATCAAACAGAAAGATGATGACAATGTATTCGTAGTGTATTGTTTGTTATTTGTCAAAGAGTGTAGCAATATGCTGTTTATCAATAAACAACAATTCAATGCACTTTGTACAGCTGTTTATTTATTGAACCAAATGTAACAATGTTTATATGACCTAACATCTCAGCAGCCATACACGGTGGGAGACCTAACTTTAGACACTAGTAACCACATTGAACACCCAATAAAACCATCTTTAACTTGCTACTTACTACTGTACAACACACGTACAACAATACCGAGCCCTGCTGAAAACATAATTAGGACTGACTCAGGAGAGTTAGGTTCAGGTTTATAGTTAGGGCTGGTTCAGGTTTATAGTTAGGACTGGTTCAGGTTTATAGTTAGGACTGGTTCAGGTTTATAGTTAGGGCTGATTCATGATACCTTAATATAGTACGATCTTAAACCTGATTCAGTGTTTACAACCTGGTAGTTTTCCTCTCCTGTGCAGGAACAGCAGAGGTAACACCAGACTGCTGGGCAACGAGAACCACAGTGCGGACATCATCAACATACACCCAAAACTTCTGCTCAGCAGCAGTGAGGCATCAAGAGCATCACAAACCAGCATCCCTCCTAAGCCCAGAACAGCACTCCCGTTATGGTGCGGAAAGCTCTCCGCTTCATTTTGTTGACCCGTTCCCCGTCCCTGCCCGCCTCCCCTGGGCGCCTCAGAGCGCAGAGAACGGAGAGGCTGCAAAAACCGACGACGATTAAGGCAAGACCCACAGAGCCGAAATACAGGATAAAGTTGTCGCCTATAGCCGCTAATAAGCTTAAGACGCACAGCAGCCAAACACAGCCTATGCTGATATTCCTGATCCTGACGCCACCTTTGTTCTTCAGACCCAGGTAAGTGACGGGGTGAACAACGGCCAGGTAGCGCTCCACACAGGTCAGGGCGTGGAAGTGTATTTTGACACACCAGGGGGCTTCGAACATCTTTCGGCCACAGTCTAACAACAATGGGTGATCAGCGTACACGCCGGCCAAGAAGAAGGAAGACCCCAAGATTGAGATCATCTCCATGGTGACCAGGTGTAAGGTGAAGACATCGGAGTGACCGGTCGTTGCGGCTGCCGTGGAGCCGGAGCGCTGCTTCTTCCGTCGCTGGTAGCCCAGGTGGAGGACGAGGGCGCAGAGAGGGAGGAGCATGAGGACGTTGGTGACGGAGAAGGTTGTCAAGATTGACATGCTAATTTTTGACCTGTAGCATTCTGGGAAAGGGAGGGAGGAGTTGGAGGAGAGGTTGGGTCGATCGAGGGAAAAATCGGCAAAGGCCATATTTCTGAATATGGAGGTCTGTAAGAGGAGGATGTTTAGAAAAAGAGGAGAAGAGAGAAAACGCAAGAAGACATGAGTAAAATATACAGAAATGACTCATTGAAGGATTACTGCACATTTCACAACTGGAGTCTAGACTCACAAACATAAAGTCACGGTGGATGCTTATGGTGGTAACGTTAGCAACATGACTGAACGTATGTGTCAGTAGCAGCAACAGTGTGTGACCACTAAAAGTATATGGCATTTATCCCAAATGGATGTAAACACTTTGGCAACCCAACTGTAGGACACGTAATAAAATAACAATAATGATAAAATAAAATATAATAATAACAATAATAATAATAATATTGATATACTACTGTTCTATCTATATAACTGTGTATATTTCAACTATGTTACATAAACTATTGTTCTTCAGTGTGACCATAAACAACGTCCATCATGTTATTCCTGAAAATATGAATTTGCACCTATATTTGCAATCATTTATTCAGCCTAATGTATCATAAGTTATATAATTCATAAAACTAATATTCAGTAAATAGTGTGAGTCTGTTCAGGTAAAAGAAAGAAGTCTCAATCAAAAAGAATGTCTTCTGATATTGTTACCTCAGCAGTTTGTGATCGTCCTTCTCCAGCGTCTCCAACCTCACTGACTCACTGCTGTCTGGCTCACACACACATTAATGCATGCATGTTATGAGTGTGTTTATGAGAGTGTTTGTGTGTAACATAGGAACCAGTGAGAGCACGGCTTCTTTGCATGTTGCAGAACTGATGAGAGTTTCTGCGGGTGGATGGCGATAGGTAAATGTATTTTCCTCGTTATTGCTCTGCAGTGAGATCAGAGCGCAAACATCCGAGCATGGTGGCTTCAGTTAAGAGGCAGGCAACGCAAAATCATGAAACCATTTATTCTGCATCACTATATCATTACCGTCTGTCTAGATGACACAACCTAAACACACACGTTCATAATTGGGAGTAAATGCTGTCACCTTTATCACTTCATTTGAATACAGGAACATTCATTCATTAAAACTTTCTCCATCGTCACAGAGTTTTATAATAAACTTTCTTAAACACTAAAGTACATTTCTAAATAAAAAGACACATAAAGTACATTAATATGTTCATATATATATTTGACAGGATTCATCCATCCATCCATCCATTTTCCACCGCTTATCCGGGGTCGGGTCGCGGTGGCAGCAGGTCAAGCAGGCTGACCCAGACCTCCCTCTCACCGGCAACATGTTCCAGCTCATTCTGGGGGATCCCGAGGCGTTCCCAGGCCAGCTGGGAGATGTAATCTCTCCAGCGTGTTCTGGGTCTTACCTGGGGTCTCTTCCCAGTTGGACGTGCCTGGAAAACCTCCAGTGGGAGGATTCAGATGATGCATATAAACAGAGACTGGTGTGTATTCAAATCTTCTCGTTCCTGTCTGCGTGATTGAACGTGTTGTGTTATTTTAGTCTTTAGTTTGGAGGCAGGACGGATAACGTTTGTCTTCTACGTCATCTTCCACATTCTCTACGTGCTCTGTTCATAGCTGAAGCTGTCGCTCATCTTGGCCAAGATGGAGGGCAACTAGAGCCGCACATTGATCCGACTTCTGCTTCAATGCATTCTGGGAGATGTAGTGTATGTGCACAGGGAAATCTTTGAAAGTGGCTGTAATGCATACAAGCTAATCAGATCACTCTATGAGTGCTGCTACTGATACTATACTTATTACTACCTCTGTGACTGATGCAAACAAGTAAAACTCCAAATCAACTAAAACTGTAACGATTAGTCGATTAATCGTTTAATCGACAGAAAATAAATCGTAGACTAATATAATAATGAAATAATAATTTCTGTGATAATAATAATAAATAATAAATAAATAATAAATAATCTCCACTGTGACTAATCAAATCAACAAGACAATCCCAGTGGATTACAGCTCACGTTATTGTTGAATCAGCGTAGCTTCATACAAATCATTTTAATTTACACATAAAGGATTCATCTTGCATCCCAATGTTTGAGTTGTTTTGGAAACAATAATCACAACAAATCTGGAATTGATATATAAGAATCTGAATTTCTTGTTTCTAATCAAAACAATCTCACACGACCACAACCCGCTGTAATCTGACATGACAAACTGTCCATGGAGTCCAACATACTCTCAAATTGACTTTCTTCAAATGTAATCCAACGCTTGTCTTTAGGCACTTTTAGAAGAGCAACATGATAGTTTTCCCGCTCTGTGTAGATACATCAGAGGCAACGCCAAACTGCTGGGCAGATAAAACCAGAGCATAGAAGCTTTTAGCACACAGTGGACCTCGGGGCTCAGCAGCTGCGGGGCCTCTAGAGCAACGATAACAAGGAGCCCGACGAACCAAAACCACAGCACGCCTGTTATGCCCATGACCGCGTGGGAAGCCCTCTGCTTTGACTGGTCGACTCACCCCTTGTTCCCGCCCACTTCCCCTGGCCCCGGACGAATCAGAACACGGAGAATAGAAAGGCTGCAGAAAGATACGATAAGTGTATATAAGGGCAAGAGGAAGAGCAATGAGAGGTAAGTTAAAGAAGGAATGAGCAGAGCTGCTACACAGTTCCATCCAACACACAGCAGCCAAACGCATCCAATGCTGATGTTTCTGATCCTGACCCCCGGCCCCTTTCTCAGCCCCAGGTAGGTGACGGGGTGAACGACAGCCAGGTA